AGCAGTAGACTATTATAGGCTGTTGATGTGATGATGATGATGTGAGGTCAAAAATAATAGATAGAAACATACAGACAAAAGAAACCAAAACCGCACTTACTTCTTTCAATTATTATTAATGATCTATAATAAGCTCCTAATAATTATGTTTAGCAATGTTTTTTTATACTCATAAGGTTATTTTTATACAATAATAGGTTACCTTTGGTTTATTACTATTATCGCATGAAATGTAATGTTGCTATACAAATGCCTTCGAATTAAGGGTAAAATTGTCGTCAGGTGCTGAACGTTGAATAGGAATAGAATTAAATAGGTCAACAGCTTGTGAAACCGAAGAAAGGTTAATTGAACGGACCCATAACACCCCAGGACTTACCCCGTCGAGTAAGTTACGATTGCAGTTACTCTTTATTTGACAACATAAAACGTATTGAAAACTATTAAAGAACATAAACAATAACCTTGGTACAACGATTGTTTATTAGTATTGCACGATTACTGAACAAGTTTTTGTAATAATTATTTGTCATTGAATATTCTCAAATTAATCTACTCACTAAAGATAACATTATCTTCAAAAGAGTTTTATAACAATAATAAAATATATTTTCGATGGGAAAAAGTAGCTGCTGCCAACTTCAAAAAACCAAAACAGTATTTAATTACATTTTAATTTTACACTAATTCCATTTCTTTACGCTCTTGGTGTCTGAGACACATGAGCATTTTATAATTAGTTTTAGGTATAAGTAGCGCACACATCGGTACCTAATTACAACTGTTCAGTCTCCTGCTGGTAGTTAAACCAACTGTCACTATGTTAAACTCACCTCGGGTAGTTCGTCGGGCACCTTCCCCATCCACGATAGCGACAGTATCGTACAATCGCATTTTGCGTTTACGTTTCTCTCAAAATGTAGGTGCATTTTCGATGTTTCAGTTTAAAACGTAAACTCAAACGTTGATCATCGTCGGTACACTACGCGGACACGCGCCATATAAGTACCTATGCCTCACCGACGGCAGACTTGGCGAAACAGTGCACTCATTTTATTGAAGTTAACAGTGTTACATCTAAGAACTGATTATGATAGTTCATTTATGTTAGAGTTTGGAGTGATCGAGTAAGAGCGTCGGTGGGCGCTCGGCTAACGTGACGGAGGGTGACAAACGAGGCTTCGTCGGCGGACGGCGCAGGTATTGATTACGCACGGGGGGCGCGCGCACATCCCGCGACCTCTACCGCTGCCGCGAAAAACTGGGGAAACCCGCGCCAAGAGCACTCAGATGGCGCTGCGATGAAAACACGGGCTTTTCGGATTCCGGGTACTGAAAAATATATTATGTTGGTAGTACTTTGGTACAAGGTTTAATACGGATTAAAGGCATTATGCAAAAAAGTATCATGATGTATATATCTGTATGTACCAATATTAAAATAGAACATTTTATTTTGATTCCAGGAGAAAATAACAATTGAATCTTAGCCACTAGTACGGTTGAAGTAATTGTGTAACTAAAAGTTTTCGATTAAAGTTACAGCGTTTGAGACTTAATAGGCTTCGTGTAAAAGTGGCATTGTTACTTGACTTTGTTGAATGACTTACTAAGTCTATGAACGTCTGAAGAGTTGATGTCGGTAATCTAATCACCACATATTTACGATGTACGTACACTGTTTGTGTAAAATTGTTTACTAGATCTTGTAACATGGGGCAAACCGGTAACATTAATATTAAGTACCTAATACGGTATTAGCATACTATAGTCCCTGCACGAAAAGAGCAAAATTTTTGCTGTAACAACTGTTACAATATTACGTTATTGTTATCATAGCGTTATTAGGAATCAGGTGCCAAACTACTTTAGCATGAGGGTAAATATTTGTTCTTTTTATTTTAGTTTTCTGGGTCATTCACCTCCTACAAAAATTAAATTTACCGTTAGTAATTGTTCTAAAATACTGAATTACTGAAATCATGACTTAATGACAAGAATTTAATTATTTTTAGAGTATTATGTTGCGGGTAATGACGCAGAAGTAAAAAGAACGGAATAGCACACAGGTACCTTATATTCCAGAAATATAGACTTAATGAAGCAATTTTAAAATTTGATACTTATCAGATTTCTCTGGTCTGCTCGTCGTCCAATGAAAGGGCTATTTTCCCTCCAGTGCGAGTATAATATGGAATGATATATGTACATACCTTTAAACGTACACTATGATAGCCTGATATTGATACATATTGACATAAATGCTGCTAACATAATACTTATGTGCTTGACTACACTAATACTCGAAGATCCGCCGCTTCCTCCTGCGCTTCGTTGTGGGTTGTTGTTCTGAGTCTGGGTGTCCTTTGTGTCCGTTTCATGTATGTTTGTAAAGTCTCCCGCAACACATTCCTCATTCGGCGGAAAGAACATTTTCATTTTAGATTAAATAAACACTTATGTGTTTATTTAATCTAAAAGGAACATAATTAGAGATAAACGAGATAAACATAATTCAGAAATAAACACAAATGCAGTTAATTAACAATGAGATCAGCGTAGGACATGCGTTAGATAAACTTAGATTTTAAAATGACTAATATTACATTATGATAAATTGTAAGGATAATACAAATAGTACATAACATTTTGAGACCTCAGCTGATCTCATTGTTAATTAACTGCATTTGTACTCGCAAAATGAAGTCGCCATTGTCTATTAAATTCTTCATTCTTTTCGCAGGTATCTTCAAATCATGAATGTCTGACAAAACGTTCAGTAAACGTTGAATTATGTTTATCTTTATGTGTTTATTTAATCTAAAATGAAAATTTTCTTTTCTCCGAATGACGCTCAGCTGACTTTTATTATATTTAATAATTAAATAAATATCTTAATCTATATTTATTTCTGCTAGTTACTCGGTGGTGTCATTATATAAAAGAATAATAACTTTAACAATACCGGTGGTGTCATGGGGATTGAATAATACCCTTGACACTACCGGTGTCATTGGGTGGTATCACAGGTCCGTAACGAAAATACGTGGCTTTGCCGTTCCGCTACCGTCACATGGGCGTAAGGTGAAAAAAATATTCACTGTTTATTACTTTTCTGTTATATAATAAAAAGAAGAAAGAAAGATTTATTTTAGTGACATTGCAACACCATCAGAACATTATTGTACAGATCAGAATATAATATAGTATTAAACACAGTAATAATTAACATATTTATAAATTAAAATTGTAACAATTTATATAAATTTATATATATTTTTACACATAATACAATAACACACTAAATAGGTACATAAGATATTTGGTGTACAATCGCCTCACAATGTTCATTAACTATCGTAGTAACATTAACATCACTATCGAGGTCTTGCTCATTTTCAGCAAGACCTCGATAGTGATATGTGCGTCTAAAACAGTCATTTAAATTAATGCTTCGGAATAATAATATTAAACAACATGTTTTTTTTTTGAAAAAGTATACATCGTGTATCGCAGATAATTAATAACCATATACCCGGAAAAGAAATGTTATTTAAATAGTTATTGTATGGCCAAGCCACATATTTTGACTAAGGTATAGAGTTTGTGAAGGGCTTGTAGAGTTAGAGCGTGTGTTCTATGCTTTATTGGATACATTTCCCATTTTGTGCAACAAAAAGCTATCCCCCTTTTAGAGTTGCATAAGTACTTGGTTTATGAACGGCGATATTAACTAACCATGTTTTCTCGAATGTAGGTAAATGTGCTTATATTCTTTATGGAAACAATCATATTGGATTAAAACGCATTGTATTAGAAACTATGATAAATAAACAGATAAACTATTATAAATGAACAGAGAAAGATATGCATATAATATGCAATCTTAAATTAGGACACTCATACTAACGAGGCTAAATTGTGCAGGATGCAATTTACATTTCTAGCCATTCTAGCTATTCCTAATTTATCTATTTGGACTAACCTATATTGAATGGAAAGTTCTTAACTTTTTTTGTTGATATTTTCAAGTTTTTAGAAAGCTCTGTAGTATGGCATTCCATAATTATAGGTCCTATTATCCACAGAAAGTCACTCGGCAGACATGTTCCATCGCCGCGAACAGATCATACAAATAAAGATTTCACTCTTATTACAATGGTATCTAGTAAAATAATATAACGTGTTGACAGCACGGACATAACTTTCCTGGACATACACCTCTCTGACAGTAATACAAAGACCAGCAGATAGAAGACTGAATCTTGCTGTTTCACTTAGCATGGCCACCTCTTTCGCTCGTTCTAACTTATTAATGTTATCCAGAGCAATGCGAGAACAAAATGACACGGTCGTAGTGTCGGGCATGACATTTCCGTTGTGTTCTCACCTGGTCAACCAGACATACTAGAAGTAAAAAAAAAACAAAATTACATTTTAAATATTTATTATCTAGAAATGCGAAAATATTACAAGGCAGGAATAAAATATCACAGAATAAAGAACAAGTGATAAACATCAAGGAAAGCCAATTGCATTCATTAAATCAATTGGACTGTCGAGATCAACCAAGTACCTAATCAGTTAAAATAAAGGTGGTAAAAGTATCGATTAAACGATAGGTTACCATGGCTATTATTATTAGAGTAACTTGGAATAGAAGAAACTTCAAACAAAAGTTTCCTATTATAGCAGTACTAATATTCAGTCGCTTGATAGTAGACAGTCTCTTTTCTAAAAATATTAAGATTTCACTAGCTAGTAGTCATAAGAACTTTAGGGTGTTTATTAATCCCCCGTGGGAACGAAATAACTGCTCCCCACGCGGTGCTACTCCAAGTTTGAACAAAGATTTCCTCAAAACTAAATGAGGGTTGGTATCTTCTTGAAATACATCATACAATCCTGGTAAAATCTAGAAGGACTCTAATACAAAAAGAAAACATGATTACATAAAACTTCATGATTAAAAAAATACATTTCATTAAAAAACTCATGATTCAATACAATTTCATTTCTGTCAGACTACCCCACGAATATCCACACTTCACTTTAACAGGCAACGGCACCGTCAGTTTCACGGATTCTTCCATTACTTTCTTCATAATAGCTACGAACGTTTGTTTATAATACTGAGGCACTTCGTAAACTAGTTCGTCGTGCATTTGTAGTATGAGGCGAGGTTTGGGCACTAACGAGTCAGTATTGGTATCTATTGAACACATGGCGGCTTTTGCGATGTCCGCGGCCGAACCTTGGATGGTTGTGTTGACTGCTTGACGTTCCGCTGCACCTGAGAAATATAATAGACGTCAGCGTAATAATTATGATACAACACACCAAATGTGCTGTATTTATCACACTAATATAATAAGGGCAAAGTTTGTGGAGGTGAGTGTTTGTATGTTTATTACTCCTTCACTCTCAAAACGGACCAATTATAAAATTTCATATGGAGGCAGCTGACACCATGGATTAACACATAGGGTACTTTATATCCCGAAAAAGTAGTATTTCTGTGGGATAATTATGAGAGGTATTGATTTCTATTCAACCAGTAGCTCCAATTAATATCTTAGCGACAGCAGCGCCATACGCTTTTCTCAAATTTTAGTACTTTATGTTGCGGTTGTATTTATATACCAACTTTCTTTCTTATACGATGTTGGGAAATATTTTCCCATTCCCCTATGAGAAAAAGTTTTCGAAGCGTAATCGGGGGAGGGTTTCGTTGTCTCACGCATTGACCGAGCCTCGTCTGAGCTAGGATGCGTGCTGGCCACTCCACGCAATACCGACCTGGATTCATTGCTCTCGAGTATAATATTACAAGTTATTCATTACATTGGTACGCTTTGACTCACGAACTAATAGGTTTATTCGCAACGTTAATAACATTATTTAAATTTAGCATTTAAATAATTTTATTAACGTTGCGAATAATATCCGTATGGAGCCTACATTGTACCGTACCTTATTGAATCTACAGTGTACGTACGGCTTCAAAAGCGACATGACGACGGTTCAGAAGTAGTTGGAAATACATTACTCCACGTACCGCAATGTGAGTCTAAAGATCTCTATATATAGTAAAGTGAATTTAATTCACCCACATTCAGTTAAGCTCAAAATGTATTTCCGTGATCATTTTTTGTTATCATTTTAAAAAGTTAGTTCATTATTTTTTCGACACCGGATACACAATGATAAATTTCAGTAAAAAACGAAAGTAAACTTTACGCACTTAGTTACTAACATTCCTCGCAAAAAAAAATATATAAATCGCTCAAAAAAACTTTCACTGAAATTGTGACTATTAAAGGAGGCCACGGCCATATCATCCTTTTCTTTCAGGCATTTAAGACATTTTCAACTCCTTCTTACTTTGTTTTCGATACAAATAGAAGCCTACATTTTCAATGACCCATATGGTATCATGTAACATACACATTTAATGTAAAATTATTTCTAAATCTATATTGTGAATCACTTCCATAAAACTTCCGTGTGGTGACGGATTAAGAATACGGAGTGTCGCCACCAATGGTCTCAAACCCTATACCAACCCTGTATATCTGGTCTGGTCTGGTATAGTAGGCCAAACCCACCTTTCTAAGGAGAGGCCTATGTCCAGCAGTGGACTATTCAAGGCTGTTGATGTGATGATGTGGGATGTGACTTCCTTAAAAAAAACTCAGTCATTCTCTCACTAATCCATCGTCAAAACTATAAAGGATTTCTAGCAAGCACAAGATTCAAATTATAAACACACTTAATAATTACCCTATAAAGCTATAACAACTTAATAATATAAGTAACTTATCTAATCTATACAATACGCCATATCGGCAAACAAAGTTATTTTTAAATTTAGTATAGTTTTCGTGTGTGGATTAGTTTACTTACTTTTTTTAGCAGTCACACTACTGCGAATATCAGGTAGATATCTGCGGCGTTGTGCAAGTGTCTCCACATATCCTTTTTTCCTACATTCTTCTACTACTGACTGACTATACATTTTTACAGCAGGGTACGTCTTATAGAATGAGTCCATGAATATAGCTGCTTCCATTTCAGTCACATCGAGATGCTGTCCCAGCGTTCTGTTTCCCATCCCATAAATAATACCATAACAGAGTTGTTTTGCTTTTTGCCTTAGGTCGTCGTCTACCTGTTATTTTTAATAGTTTATAAAAAAATAAGGTTCAATCTCAAAAGATCCATTGGCCAGATCCATGATAGATCTAATGAAGATTTTATTTCCTATTAGATCCTGATTTTAAGATGTTGATCAACTGAGATTTTTTATTCAAAAGATCCATAGACCCGTGATGGATCTAATGGCATATGCGTCTCTCAGTAAATAGGTACTCTTTTAAAGTGGTAGATCCACTGAGAACTTTCTTTCTTACTGGATCGATAAAAATGAATATACATTACGATTACATGATGAGTCTTTCTGATATAACCAAATATCAGTTACCATTCATATTTATGCCATATTGACATTGCAGTTTAGTATGAGTGAGAACGAAGTGTTGAAATGTATTAAACGTGGGCGTGGTAAAGTATAATTACGCGAGGGGCCCTTTAGATTGATGAGCATGTTCTTTATAAAAAAGGCAATAGTCTCTGGCCTTGTGAAAATTACAAAAACTTCACAGTTTGCGGTCCGGTAAATTCACTCACTCAGTGAAAAGCAATGAAAAAAATGCTTAACACCGATTTTCTGTGAGACTTTGATGAACATGTACTACCGGAACCGATTGTACACGGTGCCGTTCTCGAAGTTGTTCAAAATCATGTGTACCTCGGGCAGACATTGCAGTAAGGTAAAAACAACTTCGATGACAAGGGTAACTGAAGAATTCGGTTGGGTTGAGCAGCGTTTAGGAAGTTACGTCGAGTCTTCTCATCATCAATCGCACAGTGCCTTAAGACGAAAGTCTTCAAGAGTGCGTCCTACCCGTCATGACATATGGAGCCGAAAAGTGGACACTTACGGTACGGATGGTTAACAAGTTCAAAGCCGCTCAAATAAGCTAAGGGATAGCCTACCGGATTAGCAAGCTGAAATGGCAGTGGGCTGGCCATATTAGACGCAGAACCGACAACCGTTGGGGAAAACTATTTCTCGAGTGGAGACCGCGTCTAGGAAAACTTAGTGTAGTACACCCACAGGCCAGGTGGAGTGACGATTTGCGCTGGATGGAGGAGCTGGATGCGAGAAACCCAAAATCGATCTAAGTGGCGTGCCATGAGAGAGGGGTATATCCAGCAGTGGACTACGATAGACTGATGATGATGATGATGAACGGTTTACATATTCTTTAACACTTGTAATGTGGCCCCCTCACAATAATCGTATTGTGGCCCCGGGGCCTTGGACGTAATCAAGGTAAAGTAGGCAACGAGAGAGTGCTAATTGACGCCAAAGCAGCTTCACACCTAGCAGCAGTTTTGAAAGTGAGTTAGTAAAAGAAGCTGACTATGAATATGACGATTATTTCATTACATATTGTATAACTGAAACCTTAGATATGAGGTGCATACTTTGTAATTCCAATTATTCTGGGAACGGAAGGTAACGTAAAATTCATTTTCAATTTCATTCATACCTAAACGTCGGCAAACATCTATTTCACTAGATACTTATAGCAATATCATTTATTAAACGATAAACACAATAATCACTATTTTAATCATTCATCATAAACAAAAAAAGAACAATTTACGAGGGGTGATCAATAAGTAATGATAATCGAGTATTTCTAGAACGCACAAAAACCCAAATTATTTTTTTTCTGCTTGCTTATATATCCACTACTTCAGCTTCAAAAAAATGTATAAATAGGACACCATTACCGGGAGATACATTCATTTGAATACGAACTGTCGAAGAGAAAACATCAAAATGGAGAAAAATGAAATAAGAGCTGTCATCAAGTACCTCTGCCTGAAAAAAATGTATACCAAAGACATACACAGCGACTTAGAGGAAACATTGGGGGAGTCTGCTCCTCCATATTCCACAGTCGCACGCTGGGCAAAGGAATTTAAGCTGGGCAGAACCTCCACTGAAGATGAACATCGCGAGGGACGCCCTTCCACGTCCCTTACTGGAGAAAACGTCAAAAAAGTGGAAGATATCGTGTTGGCCGATCGAAGGGTGACCGTAAGGCATGTAGCTGAGGTCACAGGGATCTCCTATGGCAGCGTTCAAAAAATCATTGTCAACAAAATGCATATGAAAAAGGTCTCTGCGCGTTGGGTACCGAGAATGTTAACCGACGAGCAAAAAAAGAAACGAGTCGACATTTCGAAAGTGAATCTTCAAAAGTTCCAGGCCGATAAAGAATTTTTTTTGTCGCGTTTTGTGACCATGGACGAGACCTGGATCCACCACTTTGATCCCGAAACCAAACAACAATCAATGACTTGGAAACGAGCTTCCTCACCAACGCCGAAGAAATTCAAAGTGTCAAGTTCAGCGGGAAAGGTTATGGCGTCTGTTTTCTGGGATGCAGAAGGAATTATTATGGTGGAATATTTGGAAAAGGGGGCCACTATAACAGGCTCTTACTACGCAGGCCAAATAAGAAGATTGCGAGAAGCTATTAAGTCAAAAAGACGCGGTAAACTGCGCGCTGGACCACCAAGACAACGCCCCGGCTCACAGAGCCGCAGTTGCGATGGCTGCCATTGAAGAAACGGGGTTCGAACTGCTCGAACACCCTCCCTATTCGCCAGATCTAGCTCCCAGTGATTTCTACCTCTTTCCTCGGCTCAAAGAACACCTCCGGGGCAACAAATTTGAGGACAATAGTGAAGTGATGGCCGCAGTAGAGGCATTTTGGGAGGGTCAAGACAAAGAATTTTTTTCTAAGGGAATCATGGGCTTAGAAAAAAGATACACTAAATGTATTAACTTGCAAGGAGACTATGTTGAAAAATAAAATACTTTTTTTAATCTAATAGTTCTGTTTCATATTGATTATCATTACTTATTGATCACCCCTCGTATTAGTAAAGTTAGCATACATTTAGATTATTTGATAACAAATTTTGACAGTATCTTAAAAAAAAACTTACCTCGTCTTCAGCTACATTGCTCCATAAAGCCGCAATAGATTTGAACACATCAACATCAGAATTCATAATGTCCATCAACACCGGGTCTTTACTAAAATGCGTCAGAATCCGCATTTCCAACTGACAATAGTCCGCCGACACTATTATATAGCCAGGGGCTGCTTTAAATATGTTCCTGCAGTTGAACTCCACTACTTCATCACACTTAGCTTTATTCAGTGTAAGGTATTCACTGGGAATTGAAAAAGTGCGCGGAACATTTTGTAGGTTTGGCTCATGCATACTGATGCGGCCAGTGCAGGTGAACATTGTGTACGAGGGATTTATTCTGTGGATAAAATAAAAACAGTTTGCGGCAAGCTCTCACTTTAATTAATTCTCCCTACACCTCTGGTCCTCTCGCCCCTGTCACCCCCCGTGAACGTGTAAACTGCTTACAATAAAACATTTTTTTGTAATTTAACTTAACCTAAGTATCTTTAAACCCGTCGTTTTATTAAACTTATAAAACATGTATGTTAGGAAAGCCTTTAATTTCCATAGAACTGTGAATCTCAGACGTGCTATTATTAAAAAAATGTAATTGCAAGCGATCCAAGAATAGGATCCAAGATCTGAAAAATAAACATATGAAAAATATTTTCTTTATAAATACGAGTATATAAAAAAAAGTTTGCAACCTACAAAGTGTCTACTCTTTTTTTGTGTTTGTATATTCGAGTTAAACTTAATGATGATAAGTTAGACTTAATGACCGCTTAATTACAATTGAGAGCCTTTAAATTCGTTCAAACTATTTGACAAAAGAGATCCAACAAAAACAAATAAATAAGTACTGCTATTACATACTCGTAAGTTAGGTGAAATATAAAATGTAAGAAAAAAATGGAAATGTAGATTGATAGAGGAATATATTTATGACGCAGGAAATTACTTTAAGCGGGATCTGTAACTACTAGGGTACATTAACCTTTTTAGAAAGTTCTATTGGTATGAACTGCAGATAGTGTTTTTTTCAAAGCTGCTCTAGGTCTGGGTCCTAATGTTGCGATGTTCAAAATATGTTAGTAATTTTTAATAAAATTTACAGAAAAGTTAAGCATGAACCAGCATGAACCATTCCAATAAAATAATATCGTAACACCTCTACTCAAAAGCGTTTACGCATAATCGATGTTAGTCTTATAAAATAAACAAATTTATCCGCGTCGGAAACGGGTAAGAAACACAAATATATTACCTATTTCCTTCGGTGTATATACAGGCTTTTTCCGTGAGTGGGTACAACGTTTTCGTCAATATAGAATTAAGCTTCCTCCAATAAATAACAATACTTGACAGAGGACTGTTGTGAGAGGTTAGCACACTCTTCTTTGTGCTCACTTTACGACCGTTGTATATGCCTAAAGCCTGAATCATATTAGACAATTAACATGAATAAGGTGGACATAAACCCACATCTGCTGTCTGTACATACTGTACTAGTCGGACGTATGTATATGACTATAAACAACTGTAAAACTTAAGTGCTACTAGAAAAAGTTAATATGTATAAAAAGTACCTTAGCTACATCTTTCGAAGAGTTAAAGTTGAAATGATATCCGCAAAGTTTATATGCCTTCTTCTGGAGAATATCTTGGGAATTTCTAACATCAATCAAAAGACGCGACGCGAGATCCTTGTCTGTGGTAATTCCGTAATATTCACTGTTAGCTAGAATCTTCGAAACTTGACTTTCGGTATCTATAAAAAATACGCAATTCCTTAATAAACTCTTAAACTGGTCAATGAATGGTAACTCTAGATTAAATGTTATCGTACCGACTATATTTTGCAGGGGATAAAAGTTTTCTAAAATTACTTTTTCTTGCTTTTCTGCAATCATCCATATATAAAAGGTCCTTATACACTGTGTTTCAACAATATCTAGACCTTTAAACCTCTTTTGCTGGCCGTCAATTTTTAATGACCAGTTTGAAAAATTGATGCCACAATATTTTTTAGTCTGAAACAAAACATAGGTATTATAATATCAACAATGATGAAGTCTAACGTTTAAAATTAAAATAAAATATGTACTTTACCAAATACTCAATATCCGGTATTTTTTCCGTGCTGTCGATGAGCCATTCAAACAAACTAATGTCTGTACAGTTACTTGGTAAATTTACACCAAGCCATTGCTTTAATTTCATATTCACAGTTTTTGAACATAACACCTTAAATAACACTTTCTTTTTAAACCAACATTTTAACCTATGCTTCATTTCTAGGATATCATCCATGGCCGTAAAATCTAAATAAATACATATATCTTTGTTAAAAAATATTGAAATCCCCTTCACTGGAGAATTTTCATTTAAGGAAGTTGCTGTTCTATATTTAGCATTATCAATTACTTCACTTCCTATTATTTCATTGCTTATTCCAATACATTGATTTAACGTAAAATAAATAGAAGCTATTTGAACATCTTCAATCACATGAATATTATTAATAATATCATTGCCCCGTAATACGTAACAATTCAATTCATATTTGTTAAAGTCCATAGTAAGTCTTTTTGATAATGGATTTTTCGTATGAATGTTAAGGGAAGAAGATATTGCTTTTGATGTTTCTTTAATATTAGTTAATACAAACTCATCGTCCGTTTTCTTTTTCTTAAAAAGTGGTTCAGTTTGTTTGCTCAAATTATAACTGCGTTTATAAGAAATATTATTTTTGTCTATTATTACATTAAACTCTGCAATATTTGTTGTTTTAGGTAACTCATTTTCTGAAATTACATCATCCTCGTAAACTAACTTGATATCGTCCTCTTCCGAATCTTCAACTTCAATTAAAGTGGTTTTGAAAGCATTTAAAAGCGTGTTAGAATCGATGCTAGCATAATCTGAAGTAGTTTCTTGCTTACGTAATATATTTGATTCTTTGTCGAACAGGTTACTTGATATTAAATCTATTGGCAAGCTTTCTTCGAATAAACTCGAACTATCCCCTTCAGACGAAAACAAACTTATGTCTTTAGTTGAGATATTTTGTTTTGAAGAATTCATAGTTTCTGAAATATTACTCGCTGCTATAGACTTTTCGAATTCACCAAAACTAACATTCGGAGACATTTTATCGGATGTGCGTAATTTTGTTATATTTTCTAATCCATTTTCGGTGAAATTTAGAGAATCCCATAATATACTTTCTTTTGCAGTTAAAACTGTATTATCAATACTTTTATCATTGTCCTTTTTTGCAATATTACAATTAACTTGTTCTAGTTTTTGAAACTGGGATTCTTTTGTACCGAGCATAGGACAGTTGATTTCTGAGTTATTGACATTAAAACCATTATGTAAAGTATTATCCGGTAAATTTGTATCCTTTTCTTTTTCATTAACTGCACAGGTCAGATTTGGTTTGTTTAGATGTTTTAAGTCGATTTTATGGTTAAAGAGATAATTGTCTTTACGTTCTTTTTCTTTTGTAGATTTAGCTAACATTGACTGAGAGGGATTCTTCTGAAAAGTAGTATTTTCTGTTTCGTGTTTTGTTTTCCTCGTCTCAGTATCAAAAGTTTCAAGTTTTTCTATTTTGTCAAACGAAATATTTTGAACAATACCAGCTAGACCAATTTTAGATTGAGTCTTATTTTCAGACATAATTTTTTGACTTTCACAGTTCATGGTATCAGTACTTAACTTTCCTAAGGCTTCAGTTTTTTCCGTTAATTTGTTATTCCAATTGATATCAACGACACCAATTTCAAGGGAAAGATGTTTTCTAGCTTCGCTTATAAGATTTTCAGCAGCTTCTTTTATAGTTATACCACAATAGCCAGTTATCCAAACACTTTTCATTTTATTACGCTTTCTTATATCATCATTATCATCATCTTCTCTGGCTTTTTCACTTTGAAAAGGTACAGACTTATGAAGAATATTTTCAATAGTATGTATATCGGCTGAAGCAATACTTGAAATTGATTCGAAACCAGAATCAAAAAGTGTTCTGGCCCTTATACCATTCAAAGATGGCAATTTCATTAGTTCTAATAATTCAGAATGAATACCGAAGTGTAAACGATCTTGAAATTGTGATATCAACATTTCCATATTTTTCCATCCTAACTGACGACAAAAGGCTGTGACCATTCCTAAAATAGGTAAAATTTATTGAAATGATGTATGTTCAGTATTCAATGTAAAATAATAGGGAATATGCATAAAATTTAAATTTGTCTTAAATATTATTTTCTAATATTTTTTTGTTTTCTAGATTGATTTCTTTATTGTCTTTACATTATACTTAATAGGTATTTTTTTATTTAGTTATTATTGAAACCCAGAAAATATTATATACAGTCTGTTTCATATATTAACGCAAAGCTTTTAACATCATATTCTGCACTTTATTTCTAGACGATTCGCAAAATATGAACAAAAAATATTTAGTGGTTTAGAAACAGGATTTTTTTTTGTTTTCGTAAATTGCAACATCATGTGTACATGCAGTCATAATACATTGACCTCAGGCGGCGATCAGCTGTAGGTATACGCGGCGCGGTAATCACACGTTGCCGCTTTTACTACACTCGAATCGAACGAAATATGTTGATTATTACGTCATCACGATGAAGGACACGCGTTTTTAATTAAGTTCATCCAGTAAGGACAGTCAGTCGGCCCTTGGTCACCGGCGAGTGTTATGCTATTCCGTATCCTTGTAGATGCGCTCACGACAAATAACCGTAATAATAATATTGTTGTTGTTTATGCGATACATATTTGTTTAGAAAAGTTTTCTTTTGGTAATAATTGTTTAGTCTTATTGCTTTCGTCATAATACACGGCAATGGTTTGAACAATTAATATTATCGTGTGCGCAAGACTTCGTAATGTAACGAGTTCTGCTAATTTTATTTTGCAAAGTGACAATATTAGCTTCTGTGTGTAGTGTAGTGTGAAACTGAGTGAATTTTCAGTCTTTTAATTTTATTGTGTTATCGGTATCAACATCCATAATGCCGTGAGTGACCTTCACAGCCGCGGAATATCCTGCCATGATGTTAATTTATGGTAAACTCTATCAAAACGCATCTTTTGCTTTACGGACACGTATGGAGTCAATCGTGTATGTGTAAAAATTCCGCAGTCTGTACTGCGGAATTTTTGTAAGGCCGGTACAAAGATTACGAGACAACCAAGGTACCTACTTTTTCAAGGAGTGACACGTACTGCTGGGTCCGAAGCTAGTCGAGCATTCCCAAAATAAACACGTGAATAAAATCGTATTCTTTATAAATAGATTTTAAAAAGCAAGTAAAGTGATTGGTAGGTAGGTAATAAGAATGTAAAGTTCGCCAGCTCGTCGCGGCGGCGGCGTCGCTTTAATGTCGTCGATATTGCGACGCTACCGTGTACAGTTCACCGACTCATGTTATCAATGGTGTTCTAATTCGGCAATTATTTTATTGTATTTAGTTTGTTCTAAATTTGCATTTCTGTATTTTCGTACTAATTTTTTTATTTTTTATTTTAACCGACGTATATTGAACCGTGTTATCTGTTATTTCATTTTTTGGGATATCTATTATCCCAGTCTGTATAAAGTGAAACATAAGGGAGGGAAATTCAAACTTACAAAACGCGTCACCATAGGTCGAAACGCAATGTGACGTCAATGATCACATCACGACATTGGATTTATCGGCGTCGATATTCATACTTTTAGTGCTTGTGAGAAAAAATGTTTAAAACTGTATTCCTATGTTAGTATTTGTGAATATATATTTGTAGTCAATCTAGGACGATGACAGAAACCGGATTTGTCAAAGCACAATCGGATAATCTACCGAAAATAGATGCATTTATGATGCCAGCATTTTTTACATCAAATCTCGATTTTACGAGCGCAGAGATCAAAGGAGTGAAAGCTGCAAGGTAATTATTATGTTACTTGGTATATTTTAGTCCATAACATAGACTTTTATTCATAAATGTTTAAATAATACTTACAAAAAACATAACCATTTGACATTAAAATTTTTCCTAAACTCTTAATTTACGTCTATGTCATTATAATTTACACGTAATATTATAGTATTGAAGATCACTCAACTATGATATGTTTATTTACTTTTTGTATTCCGTATATATGATAAACTAGCTGTTGCCCGCGACTTCGTCCGCGTCAATTTGTTTTGTTTGACTGCACGGATGGCGTAGTGGTTTAAGCGGTCGCCACGCCGCTTCCTACTACGCCGAGTGTTGTGGGTTCAAACCCCACATGGGACGACACTTTGTGTGATCCACAAATTGTTGTTCTGAGTCTGGGTGTTCTTTGTGTCCGTTTCATGTATGTTTGTAAAGTCCCCCGCGACACAGGATTTATTCCTAATGCGGGAGTTGTCTTTTTAAAAAAAAAAAAAAAATTAAATCTGCTTTTATGATCGCGATTAAGAAGTTTTTAAAAGAATATATTTTAAAGTACTTCTGCGTAAATGACATTTTTAGTTTTATTTTCTTGTGGCAGAAGAACATACTGATTTTCTCCGCAACCCGATCTTGACAACGCTACATATAGTTGGCCGTGTGAAAAGCAGTCTTGACGTAAATCGATTCCTACGTGTTTAAATGTTTGCCCCTGTGATTTATTAATTGTTACGGCAAAAGATAACTTAACGGGAAATTGAATCCTTTTAAAATTAAAAGGTAAATCATTTGGAATCATTGGGATGCGAGGTATAAGCACTGTTTGACCTACTGCTGGACCAGTCAAAACTATTGCAACGATCACATTGTTGCGAAGAAATTTGACTTGAAGTCGGGTCCCGTTACATAAATTTGGTGGTTTAAGATTTCTAAGTAAAATTATTGGGGCACCTATTTTTAACTTGAGTGAATGTGGGGGAAGGCCACTCGGGTTTAAAGAATTAAGAAACTCCTGTGGGTAATGGACCGCATCTTCTTGATCCATTACATTATCAATAGATGTGTAGGTAACCTTATCTCCTGGAAGTTTAGTTAAAATTAGCTCGTTAATTTCGTCAACGCTACTGTTTCTCGCCGCCAATATTGCCCTTTGACACATCCATGGATAATCTTTGTTTTCTATTTCGACGATATCAGGGTAAACTTTCGATATTAAATCCTCAATGCTAGTCACTCTTTCTCCTAAATCGCGATCAATTTCAATTTTATTTTCAAAATGAGGTACTTTCCCGTCTCCTATTAAAAGTAGCTTTGAAGGAAAATTTGTACTACCTCCCCCCAAATGTGCTCTCATATTCGTAGATAGTTTTAAGGTATGAACAAACTTCCATAATGGGGAACTTTTAAGGCAAGACTTTACAATGTCTGCTCTAGTTCCCCTTACTATTACCGGTAAAGTTTGACGAAAATCCCCAGCAAACATAACAGTAATCCCATGATTTTATCACAGCTTCTAATATCTCTAAGAGTCCTATCTAGAGCCTCTACATGAGCTCTATGGATCATGGTACATTCGTCCCAGATTATTAAAGTGACGTCTTGCAAAACTTTTCCCAAAGGGCCATTTTTGCGAATAGAGCACACGCTATCTTTCTGTAAAGAAACAGTTAGAGGCAGTTTAAAAGTGGAATGAGCTGTGCGTCCACCTGCTAATAAAGTTGCAGCGATCCCTGACGACGCTACTGCTAAAGCTAGTTTTCCCTGAGACCTTACTTTTGCTAATATCAGATTAGTAATGAAAGTCTTGCCAGTTCCACCTGAAGCATCCAAAAAAAAAATTTTTCCTTCATTAAAAAGAACACTGTGCATAACACGATTGTACGCCGTCACCTGGGTATTAACTAATTTTGGTTCATTTTCAGTAATATACTCATTTAATTCATTTACATCATACGGCTTTCGCAACGCTACTTCTAACGGATCCAAATTATTATGTGAATTATTCCTTTTTGATGCAGGAAGCCCAAAATCAGTTAATGATTTATCGCAAATCTCATGAATCTTATCTTCAATTATGATAAGTCCATCATTGTATATATCATCACTATATGCTAATGTCATATCCTGATTCTCATTACGCATTCTGTTTAATATATCTTCACATAAATCATTTCGAAATTTATTCCATAACTCTAAGGGGTCAGATGGCTGGCAAAATATGAGAATGATGGTAAATAATTCTCTTAATTTTGTGGCTGGCTCAGACATGACAGCATCTGACATGGTATTTTGCCAATGTTCATCTCCCTCCAGTAAACCTAATTCCTTGCAAGCGCCTTGATAACTTTGGAAAATAACACCATTAACGGTCCTTAGATGTTCAAACGACATTGGACCGCGAACATGTTGCAGTATCATTCTTAAATAATAACATTCAGTTTGTGTTGGATGAATGTTGTAGACACGGCCTAAAGTTGTGTCTTTTTTTACACCGGGATATCCATCAACATCTTGCCCACGTCTTCTTCTAGAAAAAGAATTTCTTCCCCATACGTAATACTGGGGTACTTCGTGATATAAAAGGGTTTTTGCAAAATTGTCTCTTTTGCAAAGATCAAAGAACGCTGTAAGTGTCGTTGGTGAAGGATTGTTGACGCGATCTTGGAGATTTTCATTATTATAAAAATAAACTCTTTGTCCATTTTCCAAATGAATTGCTAAATGAACTACTGCCGGCAAACGTTCATGAATAGGAAATTGGAAAAATCTCCAGAGCGCTTCCGAGGAACTTATATAGCGACCATTTAGATATTTTTCTACTTCATTATTATTATTTTGCAACGAAAATGTGGCTTGATCAGAACCTTTATGAATATACTTACAGATGTACTTAATAGCTTTGACCGATTGACAAAACTCTACGTTAATGTGTGCATTGAAACTTCGTGATAGCACTGGATTATAGGGAACAACCCACCTGTTATCCACGCTCATTTCTGTACCTTTGACACGAATTGTTGCTGTTTTTCCACCATTATCTAGAGACCTGCGCCTGTAGGTTGGGTAACCGTCATCCCCAGTTTGTGTTTCAGAAATAAAATGCCTAGGGTACTTTTTAGAACAAATGTTTTCTTTCATACATGGTGACGCAGGATTGTGAAATCCGCAAGGACCATGTATCATATTTTTTATGACAATATTATGAAGAATTGGATCTTGTT